CATCTGGTTAGGTAATATTATTTTTTTACACTCCCCCCCTAGAGCAAAATTTAATGTACGCCACTGGTTATGTAAAAGCGTGCTAAAGTGCAGGGGCGGATAGGCCCACCGGGACACCGGGATTTTCCCGGTGGGCCGCTAGTCGCTACTTATATTGACGAAGATGGGCCGATGAAAAATATTGTTATTGTCGATGTTGTACAATGTACATAGATACAAATAAAATAGTTAATAAATACAATAATACTAAAATCTATATTTAAATCTACAATTATAAATAATAGTCAATTAAGTGATCTGTTGGAATATTTGTTCGATAAAAAATTTGATAATTCGATTTCAAAGTGCGCCACTGGTGTAGTGGTATAGTAATATAATATAATAATACCACTATATTATGATATAGTAAAATCATAATTTATTTTTTTTCTTAACAAAAAAAAAAAGAGGTTTTGTTGGATCTTGGATATGATCTTGCGGGCCTTTAGATTGTATTTTTCCCGGGCTGGTCAGATCATGCCTATCCGCCCCTGCTAAAGTGTGTTCACTCAAATGGATAAGGCTCCGTTTATTAAGTCAGATGCATTATTATAATTTTTTCCTAAATAACTCTCCGATCTTTGTTTTAATATACCCTACTTTATAAGTCTCTTTAGTTATCATAGAATAAGCTTTATCTTGTAAAAATGTCTATAGTGTCAGTTATGGTTTTATAGGAAACTACATTTTTCTAAAGAAATTTTCGTTATGCTTTATAACGAATTCTTTAGACCTTCAACAACTATAAACTCAATTTGAAAAAAACTTCTCTGGTGCTTAAAATTCGATATAGGAGGGGGGAGGGGTTGAGGACAATTTTTTTCTTGTACATAATACGTGTTATTATATTATATATATTGTTATAAAAGGTCAGTCATCGTTCGACTATAAACGTCTTTTGTGGAATAGGAATTAGAATAAATAATACATTTATTTAGACTACATAGACGAATATTGTGGTTTTTTAAATAATACATAATCTATAGTCCTGTAATAAAATAAAATTACATGTACAATATTTTTTTATTTAGCAATAAAAATGACAGTAACGTATAATAATATGTAAAAAACCCTATTAGCTCCATGTAAAAGTCGGCCTCCGGGCGAATGGTGGCGCTATCTACGTGACAAAATTGTACTACCAAAATGCCGTAATTTCTTGACCCACTGATTTGGTTGGAGTGGCATCACCTTATCTTTTTTACATCGTTGTTATCATATATAATGTGGCGGATGTATGGCTACGAGGCGCCACAGCTAGCGCGACCTAGCTGTCGGAATTGATACCGCCTCAACACATGGTCAGATCGCCAGACCTCGGTAGTTGTGACGAACCGTAGCGAACTTCTCGCATGTGATCAAAGTCACCCAGAGCGCACATATAAATGCGCACACCACAACTACCGACCAACGTCTTAGGACACCGGCCGGGCAACCCTTTGCCTGCATTCGCTACAATATAATAATAAAAATTAAAAACTGTGAACGGCGTGTTTTGTTTTTTTTTTTTTGGTGAATTTTTGTCTTTGTAGTTTGTTATATTATATACATATAATTATATATTAAACGTATAATAATTATTATTAATTACATATTTGTCGGTAATTCGCTCATGGTTTTCGTTCAAGAGAAATCGACGCGTTTCCCGGTGTGCAAACATTACCTATTAATATGCGTCGTTGGATATTTCCATTGTACACTTTTTCCCAATGGCCAGCTTCTTATCAAGTCTCTTTAACTTTTTAAAATTTTAATTTAAACTTACCTTTAAACCTGTTACCTCCTCTTAGACTGTAGCCTACAAACCTAGGATATTTTTAGCTGGCGGAGCGAGCGTGGCGAGCGAATGCCAAAACACTCGGAGACCTGCCGTCCTTATCAGTTATCAATACGAATTCCGCTCGCTGATAAGGAACTGGACATTGGTAGTTCATACAAAAAAGTAAAAGTGGTAGCAACCCAAGTAAGTAACACCGGACACTTGATATTTATTAACCGTCTAACTTCTAGACTATTCTTTTCAATTTAAAATTTAAAAAAATTACAGATACATAGTAAGACTTACTCTACACTTAATCAGTACTTAGTTTGCAAAATATTTGTCCATAACTAGGTATGAATTTTGATTACTAGATACAGCCTATAGGTACCATGAATTATAACGTCGTTCCTTTAAGACGTATTGCGATGGCTCGACACCGTGGCCGGCGCACCCGGGCACCCCCCCTCGGAATCTGTGACCTCCCCGAAAATACTTTGCAGCGAGGGGACGTGAGCGTGCCCGGCGTAGCCGGGTACAGTACCGGGAACCTGTGACCTACCCGCCCGACTCGGGGGCCTGGGGGCGGAGCCCCCAGCTAGAGCGAAGCTCTAGTACACTAATATAGTATAAGAGTGTGAGTAGAGATGATAATTAAGTATTGAACACAAATAAAGTTATTACAATAATATATATATATATATTATGCATAGAATACAATATATTATGCATATATACAACACAGTGAAACAATAATACACTAGTAATATGTATAAACTGAATAGAAATACTGAGTCCCGAGCCCTTAGATCAAATGCTATTTATATTAACCCACAAGGTTGCACGCGTCTACAGATACACGTGCGCTTACAAAAACCGCTCTGTTTTTCAATAACATTTCCTGGTTAACAACTACTTATTTTTATTGTACAGATAAACAACATATTTATCCTTCACGCCTATGATTGACCGTAACTTCTCAAGTCTGTCCTTGGCTAATGGCTTCGTGAAGATGTCAGCTAGTTGGTCTTCTGTTTCTTTGTACGGCAGTTCAAATACACCTTCTTCAAACTTTTCCCGAATGAAATGATAACGAACATCAATATGTTTTGACTTCTTGTGAAAAACTGCATTCCTAATCAAACGAATAGTACTTTGATTATCTATATACAAAATAGGTTGATACAATCCCTTTTCATTAGTTAATTCAGTTAACAATCTTTTAAACCAAATTAAACTTCTTATCGATTCGCAACTGGCGACGAACTCATCCTCAGATGAACTCGGAGTAACTGATGCTTGACGTTGAGAATTCCACCCTATTGTACAAGGTCCCGCAACAAATAAATGTCCCGAAGTAGATCTTCGTGTTTGAATGTCGCCGGCATAATCCGAATCGCTGTAGACACTCAAAAATAAATTATCATCTGATTTATAACACAAACTATAATCTAATGTATGTTTAACATAACGCATTATACGCTTGGACATTTGCCAGTGTGCATTTGTAGGTTTTGCAAAAAAACGACTTTCATAATTAACTGCAAATGCTAAATGCGGTCTTGTTACTTGTGGCAGAAATAACAGTGACCTTCTTACTGCTTGTCTATAAAAATTATTATCTGGCTGTAATACCTGCGTAGGTATCTGTGTTATCGAATGACGTGTCTGTTCGAGATATGGGGACAGCAACTTATTTAGCATTATTCAAATTAAATCTTTCAATAATATTATTTGCATGCTTGGCCTGATGAAGGAATAACGAGCCATCATTTTGTTTCTCTATTGACATACCTAGGAAATTATCTAAATCTCCTTGTGTGATATGAAACTCTTGTTGTAAACTTGAAATGAGTTCCTGTGATTTTGCAATACTGTTTGAAGCAATTAAACCATCATCGACGAATATAGCTAAAATAACTTCAAGTTTCTTAGCCGCAGAAACCGCTAATATTGTACGTATGCTTTCATATCGGCATACTGGACTAAAAACTTCTCCAAAATCCACGCCTGGTTTTTGTCTAGACCCGTTAACCACCAAACGCGCCTTAAATCTCTCGACTTGACCATTTACATTGTACTTAATTTTAAATACCCACATATTGTTTAAAACACTTTTATTTATCGGTCTGTCGACAAGTTCCCACGTCTTATTTTCAATTAAAGACTTCAGCTCGTCATTCATAGCTTCTTCCCACTGATTTGCATGTTCACTGTTTATCGCTTCATAATAATTACCTGGTTCTGATATACTTAGCATGCACCGATACCTCACCGGTTTTTGTAATTGGCTGCGGTCCCGTAAACTGTATCCATGACTATAGGTATGGTTACCTTTTCCTCGTTTTGAACTGGTTTTTCATTCACGACTTGTTCCTTCTCGTCGTCAACCTGTGTAACACTTTTGCTTAGGTATGCTAATTTCATTTGTATTCATTATTTCCTTAGTGAATATAACGTCCCGGCAATCATTTACCGTTTTCGTATCATTAAAATAAACCCTGTACCCGCGCTTGTCAATAGAATATCCAACGAAAATACCGCTTCTAGACTTGGCATCTAACTTTTGACGTTTTTCCTTGGGTACATGTACATACACTTTAGTTTCAAAAACTCTTAAGTGATTAATGTCAGGCAATATATATTATAATACAACTCATACGGACTTTTATTATTAATTGAGCTTTTACCTGTGAGATTCAAAGTATAATTAGCGTATGGTATACTTTCTGCCCATAATGATAAATCCATATTCCTGGAATATAAAATCGATCGACCAGCCTCCACCAACGTCCGTCAAATATTTTAATTTTTTAATAAACGGTTGTATGTTCCTCTAATGTATTTCTATGCAAGACAAAGCAGCCTAGTGTTGATTTGGTTGCCTTGTTTCTGCCCCTTAATAAACATCTAAAATATATTCACATCGTATTGTCTTATATTACTTAAAACTTACTTTCCAAATAATTTACACACTTTATAGTTTATAAAAAGTAATAACACAGGCGATTAGAGTGGCTTTAGTGGTCTAAGCCCATCCCATTGTACGACACTGGCTCCCGTCAAATTTTTAGAAACCTGTTTTAGCAGAATTGTCAAAATGGTACAGGTTTTTTTAGTATTTTCATGAAGATATTTTGAGTGAAAATATCAAAGGCAATGGATTAAAGAGAGGAGAAATGTAGCTATTTAAAAATTTTAATTATTACTCTGCTTTCATGTAGAGCGGAATATTTACCATTGATTTTTCTTTGTTCGTCTCTGATCCAGCATGTGTGTGCATAATCTTTTTTTTAAAGAAAATCATAACAAGAAGATAATTTAGAGTTAATAAATTAGAAAAAACAACTTTCACGTGAACCTCAAAAAAAAAGATGATTACATTTCTAACTTTGACACGTTATGCCTTATCACTAATAATTGTAAAAATTATTACAAAATATGTAATTTAAGTATTCTTTGGCAACGTCTCTAGTTGCTATCCAACGATTATTAAAAATCAGAAGGACTATAATATATTCACGTTACCGGTCGAAGATTTTTGCATTAAGACATTCAAGATAAATATAATTCGTGACTCTGAAATGTATTGCAACCATTGCATCCACGCGCATCATCTGACCCCACTGTTCCAACTATTATATGCTGATTAGTTGCTTAAGTGTAAAATAAATAATAATATTAGTGTCTATACTTGCTACAACTTTATTACGAATGTTTCAAAAGAGTAAGCTTGACGTGTTTGTTTAATTTGTTTGTTTATTTTACGCTGAAGCTACTTTAGAGTATGACTTTTTCAGAATAATTATAAATAACTTAAAATAGGCAATGTTTTAACTGTAAAATACGATAACATTCAATCTTTGTCCTATAATAGTTTCAACCAGATTGGATATCTGACCTAAATTGTGTTCGTCTATTAGTTTAATAATATCTTATTTTAAAAAAAAAATGCATTTATCTTTGTAAAATTATTCATCAATTATAATAATTTTAATACTCGTGATAAAAACATTAATTTTCAATTAATCGCATAAGTGCATTTGCAATGTTTTCATTGTAGTGCGTTATAATAAGTTTTAAAATTCACGATGGCATTTTTTGTTTTTATCAAAAAAGGAACTGAACGCTTGCATAACTAAAACGTAAGTACGAAAACTTTTATTTTTTTTATTATTACGTTGAAGCATAAATATCAAATATAATATATAAACATACACAACCATGATATTCCTATCCGAATAGGAATAATCAGATAATATCATTTTAGTTAATTGTGTGAAAAAATATTTCACCCAGAAGTAGAAATTTAATTCAATATATTTTAGTTATATTATGAAAATTATTTTCAACGTGTTGATGTCTCATGCTACCTATATATTATATATTTAGTAAATAATTAGTTTATATATATATTATATAGATATATACGAAGTGATTGTTTACTTGTGATTGACGTATAGGACAAAAGAACAACACGGTCGAAAGTTTTTAAAGTATTTGTTTATTGTTTATCACAACACAAAATACATGTGATAAACTAAGTTAAAATATTAAAATAAAAGTAAAAATGTTTTAAAAAAAATGACTAAATAGTAATAAAAAACGAAAGCTTGTTAAAGGCACGCAATATTCACATGTGACATTCTAGTATTGGTTTGTGTATACAATCTATGTGTATAAGTACATGCATAACTCCATCCTTCTCCCTTCCTCTTCATTCACTAAGAATGCATGGCTATTTTTGAAGCCCTTCTTATGATCAAATCACTATCTCCTCGCAAGTATCTTATGATCACCGAATTCCAATATGCGATTTAGCTGGGACGCTACACTAGGGAATCATTTTTCTTGTAACAGTGTTATTTTATATTTTGGCACTGAAACTTTTAAAGCAGTTCCTATACCGATTTCTATGGTCAGCAATTCTGATGATCAGAAATCATACTTAATTGTTATGTAATCATTGATGGTCTGACGGCTTTGTTATCGAAAGGAAGGGAGGCAAGGGATAAACAATTCCTACTATGTTTTCCGGATATTTTATAATAATAATGTAATATTGTATAATAATAATGTAACTTTATTTAGTTATACCTTACCCAAGTATTACATACTTACAAATATAGTACGTTATTTAGTTTTCGTGTTACGGTAATTCTTTTTATGGAATCATTTTTTTTTTAACTAAACACATGTTTAGCTAAAAAAAGTATTTTTTAAGAAAACATTACTACATAATATTTGAATAACCTGTACATAAACAAATAGACTACTATCAAACTATGATGATTTCTGTTAACAGAAAAAACGACAAAATAAAGTCTGTTCCCTGATTATTAAATGTAGATTAACGTTCATGGCTAAACATATGAAACTAAGCGATTACAAATAGTACAGAAAAAACTGCATAGTCGCATTATGTTTCCAACGTGCGTAAATTGAGAGATTTTCAGGAATTAAATGACATAATGCTGTGACAGCAAATACTTAATATGAACAAATCAAATCTAATAGGTACACGTGTAGACGATAAAATATAATTTATTCTAGTCGTTTGCGCAAATGAATTACACAAAAAAAACACCATAACTATGTTAACTTATTGAATGAATTCGGTGATAACTTTAAAACGTCAGAGATTATATTTTACTTAATTTGAAAAATGAAAACTCTTTTAGCATTTCAATATTTGGTGTACGTATACAGTATAAACGATATAGTTTGTGCCAATATATTATTAGGAGGTAAAAAATATGTACCTTGTGCATACAGACAAAGAAAAATATAAACATCATTGTACAAAATATAATAGACTAGGTATATTATAATGGTTACCAGCGATTGAACATTTTTATTATCGAATTTAAATAGTAATAGTCCTACAAAGCAAAAAGTATTGATGTCTTCAAAATGGTGTCAAAAATTTAGTTATTAAAAAAAAAAAATGTAAATCATGTTTCGATAAGAGGAAAAATGTTAAAATAATATTAAATAACATATCGTTTTAACTATTATTAAAGCATAGAAAATATCATCTGAAGGGCTAAAATGTAAGTAAAGTTATGGTATTATTATGGTATATTTTTTTTATAATTAATCAATATTTTGTAAATAATATTTCTTTTCCTGCTAAAACAGGTTTAAAAAAAATAAATAAATGAATATTAACCGAGTTTTTACAATATTTTGAAAACATTAATAATCGTTTGCTACAAAGGAAGTCGTACTATTGGAATACTTGTAATTCAAAATGTAAAATAACCGGGTTCAGATTTTTGAATACTTAACGCACTATTCGAATCTAAAGTACTTCAATTTGAATTTTCGAATGATTTAATAATAATTATTATTCTCATCTTTAATAGCCAAGAGATATTTTAACATTGACCTTGTAATTCGGTGTAATTTAGGTAGTTTTATCATAATATACTTTATTGATATTTAATATTCAATTAATAATACAATAGCTGACTGATTAAAGCTTTTACTATTGATTAATTATTATTAATCATAGTCCATTATAATTTATAATAGACCATTGACGTCCAATGCGAATACATTTATATTGTTCATATGAACAAAACATTTTATATTATTAAGTGATTTATGTGCATAGTCTAAGTTGTATTTTAACTGGTTATATAATACGTGATTACACCGAACGGCAAGTGTGAAAAAAATATTTTTCGCAGAACTACCAGTTACAGCAATGGTACCTATATAAATATATGCTGAGAATTTTTTTTTCTGCTTATTTATTTCATATGTGATCTTAAATTTAATTACCTCATACCATCTACGTATTATCGACTTTTAAGCATGAGGATAATAATTATAATAAATACAATTACTTAGTTATCTAATAATATAATCACCTACTCATCTAATAATATAATGTTGGATTGTACCTAATACCTGTTACATAACTCATAAATTACACTATATTGTATTATTTTATCATATTTTTTTTCTTTTTTAGGGTATATACGCCTTATTTACAGTGTGTGTTCCTAGATTAGCAATAAGTAATCAAACGGAGTTGTGAGAATACGACTTTGTGCGAGTCTGTTAGAATAAACGTCCATTATAACAATATGCATTTATCTAAAGTAACTATTGGCGCAGGACCAACATTGCTTTTTTATAATAAGAATTAGTCACTGTACAATATACACCAACTTCGACAAATGATATCGAAGGCAAACGCCTTTGTAGTTAACACAAGTTCAGTTTTCAACCATCTAGATTCCAAGAGAATGCGCGTGTGCTAGGCAGAATGATATGTGTGTAACAAAACGCAGTAAGTATTTTCAAATTCATGTCTACTTATCCATACCGAATCAACGAAATTGGTCGCATGACTTTTTTTTTAAATTTTTAATATTTCGATCAATTGTTATCCTAAGCATTAGATTACAAAAAAAAAAAAAGTGTAAAGTGAAATTTTCCGTCGATGAAGTTATTTTTATAATCCAATTTTCGTGTAAGTTATTTTTTCTTTATGTAATTATTATATTTCGATCGAGTTTCAAAGTTAAAGTTTAATTTTTCTATTAGCTTCTACGAACGTTTTATTATAAATGGCATCGCCGGTGGGCCAAATATTACAAATTTCATTTATTTTGCTAGTTTAGTGGACATCAGTGAGGTGTGTTTTTGAATTTATCAAAAATTAAAGACCTAACCTCGTAAGTCCAAAGGCATAACCAATACCGTTTATGTTCATTTTAGCCACGTAACGACCTTTTTTTTTTTTAGTACTTACTTTGTTTTAAATGTGCGAATATTGTAGTTGTTTTTAATTTTTAAACACCAGTGGCGGCACCAGAACTTTTGCAACAGATGGGTCAAGTTGAGTCTAAACATTTTTAGGGAAGGCCAACATTTTTACCTGATATCAAGCGCCCCCCACAACCTCCAAGATCGTATACGATATAAGGCGCGCTACGGTATTTGTCATATTAAACAATACTATAATATAATCTAAAATTGCTAAAATTATTTTAAATCGACAATTGATATTTTAGTTAATAACACAAAATTAAGAGTAGAAAAAATTCACGCATTAGGCGTTCTTTTTTAAAACAATATTTAAATGATAAAAATTAAAAAACAATATATTTTTATAATAAAAAATATAGATACTTGTATTAATTTATTATTTATAATACAAATTAATAGGGAAAAAAAAATTTAAGTATCCACTCTACAAGCCGATATATAGGAACATGGATATGTCTAAAAATATAATAATAATTTAAAAAAAACTAATTGGCCAGAACATAAATATTATTTATCAGATATTTCACTTACAAAACAAGTGCTAGAGCACCTAATTAAGAGTAACTAATTTTGAGTACCTAATTAGGATTACCTAATCTCTTATCTCTAATTTATAATCACTTAAAACCGCTAAAGTACCTAATTAAGAATAACCATAATGGCTTTTACTCATAGAAAAAATGATTCAAATCAAAAATAATACGTTGACGGCCAAAGCTTATACAAATTAATCGGTTAATATTAATTGATATAGTAGATATTTAATAAAACCTCTTTCTTCTTAAATATTGCCTATACAAAACTCCTTAAAAATAGACAGCATGCAATCCCCTTAAGTTCAAATTTAAGTTTTCTTAAAAATCGACGAGAGTACCTGGTTTTTCCTTTGTTTTAACGGTTTCAATGTTTTTTAGCTTCGATGCAAAGCTATTTATAAACGGTATGACGTCCTCTTACTTAATCGTTTGTTGCGTATGGCCAATACTTAATATTAGGTACTAGTAACGTGTTAATAATAACATACAACTTATTTTTCTGAAAACGAATAGCCTGTCCCGTTGTGTGTGTGTGCCGTTAAGATTGACGCACGAATGTAAATTATTGTGCATCTACTAAAATAATAACTGAGCTCAGGCAGTTTTGTCTCGAAGCGTGTGATGACGATTGCAATTTTTTTAAAAAATTATTTTCGCGTTGTTTACAGGACACAAAAATGGACAAGACAAAATACACGGTGAAGTAGCATGCTCTAGTCAAGTGTAGTTTGTCGTTTGTGCAGTTGGGCCGAACGGCCGACCCGGAGTGGAAATGGTCGCGGTCAGGATCGCCTCGTCGGCGACGGTGAAGAAAATCCAAAAAAATATATCGGTCGAGCCCGTGGTGTTTTTGTTTTGCCTGAGTGTGACGTTTTCCAACAGTCTCAACTCCAGCCTGCTGCTGTACAAATCGTGTAGCCCCGACGCCATGCCCCATTCGATCGGTTCGAAATGCCCCAACGAGGCCAGTGCCGAACACCAGGTGACGCCGATAAACGCGTGGAAATCGGTTGTAATGCAACTGGTGCCGATGTTCCTTACCCTGTTGGCAGGACCGTGGAGTGACCGGCACGGCCGCCAAAGGAGGAGCCTCATGCTGCTGCCAATCGTCGGTCAACTGCTGGCCGACGTCGCTTCACTGTACAGCAGCGTCAAGTGGGCTTACATAACACCGCTGATGACGGCGGTTTTGCAGGCGAGTACAATGCACAGGGCCAGGGACTTTCTGGCTTATTTGTCTCGGGGCATCCCCCTTTTCTAAAGAAAATGCGGGCAAATTTAATGTTTAAAAATGGATCTGTAAGACGAAGGTACACAATATCCATCTGTTCTTCGGTCTTCTTCTTTCTAGGCATCCCCCAGAGGTTAAAGTGGAGGGGGGGACGCAGGGGGACTCAGTCCATCTACCTCTAATGGTGGTTAAAAAGCGTCCCCTTTAACAAATCATTCGTAAGGTACACCGTACCGCTCCAATTATAACCAATATAATTCAGAATTCCGTTGAGATTAAATCTTGGTTTTTATTTGTTTATCAATTGTTACTTTACTTTTATCAAATGTATTTAATACAAATTATGGACTATCAAATATATGTGCAAAAATAATTGATTTTATTGGTTATTGTAAATGGCTATACTGTGATAAATAGGTATTCGATTAGCCCATAAGTGGCCCATATATAGGTAAAGTGTGAATGTGTGATTTTTTTATGCATGCTCACCCCGCCATGCGTAGAATTTGAATTTTTTCTTGTACAATTTAAAGCGCTAAAAACACTACATTTTTATGATGTATATATTTTTTGTCTGGGTGATTTTTTTAGTTGTCTAAGACAACCACTACTTACAACTTAATATAATAAGAAAAAACATTCTCTTTCAAAATGTTAAATTTGTATAAAACACGAGTTATTCTTAAAAAAAATGTTGTATTATTTGTGGTTTAAATTTTTTATGAAATAAATTACAAATTTGAACATTATTCAGGGACAACAGTGGGATGAGTATGTTACACAATCACTGTTTCTATATTGCACATACTATACGCATTAGACATTATACATAAAATTATATAATACGTAGAGACATTAGTCCCCCCCTGTAATTTTTTCCCACTTTAAGCCCCGGGCATCGCCGGGCGTCTGTTTTTGGCACCGATGGCTACTGCCCGCCTCTGTGCGCTCGAGCTAACGAAATACCTGTACAAGTAATAGTAATTGGGGGTTTTTTTTTTATTTTTTTCGCAGGTGACAATGTCTGCCACCACCGGCAGTACTCCGCTGTTCAATAACGGCATCTTTTCGTACGTGTCCGATACGTCGGACGAGAGTTGGCGTACCCTCAAGTTCGGCCTGGTGATCTGCGCCACGAACTTGGCCGGCACCTTTGGCATGTTGGCCTACGGCTTCATCGTGGAAGTCATGGGATTCGTCGACGCGTTCGCTTTGTGTGTCGTCCTGGACGTGTTGGCTTTTTTCTTGGTGCTCAATTACGTTAAAGACACGCCGGAGCCGTATGAGCACAAACCGTTTTCACAAGATCTCAAAGAATCGTTGCACGTGGCGGACATAGTGAAAAATAGCTTCAGAGTATTATTTAAACCGCGGTCGGGCAACAAGAAAACGGTTCTGATCCTCATGATACTCGTATGCGGTCCGTTGACCAGTGTGCCGTCTGAAGGTAACTGTAATACACCTGTACGTTGTCCGCGAACTAAATCGACGGTATTTATTTAAAATGGGTTTTTTTTATTTTTTTTTTTTTTACCGAACAAATTTCCATAAAAATCAATCCCTACGTTCAAATTGTACAACGGGCGTCGTGTTTGACAAAATGATTTTATCGTTTCAGGAGAGACTTCTTTAATGTACATGTTCCTAAGAAATAAATTTAGTTTCACCGATATCGACTATAGTGTTTTTGGTTCCTACAGAATGTTGGTTGTAATAATCGGTATGTATATTAGCCAACTATAAATTATATAATATTCTCAGGTAGATATCTATAAATTTCGAGAGAAAATAAAAAAAGACTCGGCCGTGTCCGACTTGAAAGGAGGTTGAACTGTTTTATGATATTTGCCAAACTTTATTATCCTTGTGCATATTGTTTTTAATTCATTTATCTTTGTAAAAAACTCTACAACCATTATTATTTTCATTGTATAGTAGGTACATGTACAATTTTATTACTATTTACTATTTTATAATTCCGACTACTCTTTTTTTTGTAAGTGGAGAGTATAGCTAAACATGTACAAGGTACTGTAAATACTTTTTACATTTTCTAGACTTAACAGATTTAAATACAATTTTTTCTTATAGGTACATTTAAATTATTATAAATAATTCATTGTACCTAACTTCAAATAATATTTTATTTAAAAATACTTTCATTTGATTGCTTTAACAACATGTTATTTGTTTTTATTATTTGAACTTTTATTTAAATAATAATTATTTTGAGATAAAATTGAAAATCAATAATTTTTTGAATTGCATTACGGTCCGTTTTAAGGCGTTTTGTATAGGCAATATTTAAGAATAAAGTGGTTTTAATAAATGTCGACGTCAATTATTAATTAACCGGTTAATTCGTAGAAGCTTCCAGGTATTATTTTAGACCAAAAAGCCACACAACATTTCGACTACATTGTATGGCCCAATTTCAATTCTGTAAAAAGATTCGAAATCTTCTTTGGCTACTTTACTATGTTATGTAAGAAGCCGATTTTCATTTAAACATTTCAGTTTCTTGTTATTAAATAAATTATATTTGCAATTTTTTCCATATAAAACCAGATTTTTTTTTTTTTACACAAAAAAAGCCAAAAACCTGTTCCCTACATCAGCTAGTAAAGTTGCCAAAGAACTTGTAAGTACATCTTTACAGAATTGAAATCGGACATTCTTTAGTAGTCGACATTTTTTCTGGCTTTTTGGTCAAAAAAACAGACCGCATGCAATGTCCTTAAAATAAAATTATATTTATTATTTTAGTATTTAATTAAATACATTTTAATTTTAATCATTTCGAGGTAAGCTTTAGGTCCAGTATTCGTTTCTATAATACAGAAAATCTTATATATTTTAATTTTTACAGGAACCGTCATCACGCTTGGTGTAATGAGTCACTTGCTGAAAGTAAACGACGCTTTAATCGGTTTGATATCGTGCATATTTGATTTTCTATCTGAACTAGCTTTTTACTTTGCGAAAAACTCGTGGCAACTATATTTTAGTAAGTTGTAATATATTTAATCGTATAATTTACACAATGAATTCGTAAAAAAAAAGAAGATATTTCTCTTTTCAACTAGTTCCGCCGCTACAAATTTTCTTGGGAGCTGCTATTTCAATAACAGGTTCTATTAGTTCTAAATGTGTCGAAATGAACGAAATGGGTAATAATAAATTATGCTATCGATTTTTTAATCGTTTCTTTTGTAAACGCGTTAATGCTGTATTAACTAATCAAATATCGATGCATTTTAATACAGGTACGATGCATTCAGTCAAGTTGATAATTGAGAGCGTGTCAAAAGCAATCGTCTTACCGATGTACAATTTCCTGTACAACAAAACATTGGAAACAAACCCAAGTGCATTTTATTTGATCAGTGTTGTTTTAGTCAGCTTGTCATTTCCATTTTTTTTGTAAGCACAACGCATCGAATTACTTTTAAGACTTATTTTGGAAAGAAAAATTAATAAGAAAATGTATTGTTTTTTCAAATTATAGTATCACCTATATCTTGACACGCAAGAATACAAAAAAAGAAATTTCACCGATTGAATACGGTACGTTTTAAGTTAAACAAAATTCCAGAATAAGTATTCAAAATTTGGAAGTTTAAAATTAAAAGTACAAAACGCAACAGTCCCTGCCAAATTCAGGTTCCTACCATTGTGAGTCAAATGCTTGATCTTAAAAATAGTTTTTAGTAGCAAACGTTTTTAACTGTTATTAAAACTTGTAAATTATTAAAGATAAATAAGAAATTTAATTTAAGTTTCATTAAAAAGACAAAATAAGGATCATGCCTTATTTTTTTTATATCTTTAAAACAAATTTCTTTTCATGTAAAATTAGTTGGTTGTGATATTTTTAAAAAAAACATACTTGTGTTTACAAAAAATTATAATTTAATGTGATGTACATTTGCATGCAAGCAAAACCATAAAATAAATGTATAAGTAACTAATATTTTAGCTAATAAAATAATGTTACCAGACATATATTTAAGTTTTAAATTTTATGTTGTATTAACAAAGTAAACATTAATTGTTTTTATTAATGAGCGAAAAAAAAAAAATATTATTATTATAATATATAAAAAATAAGTTTATATAATTGTATAATATTTTGTATTTATAATGTATAATTATTAACTATATATATTTTAGTAATGTACAATTTATCAATGGTTGTATTTTAAACATAATAAAATACAATATGGTTTAGATAGAAAAGTATACTTAAAAATACAATTTTTTAATGTAATAATATAATTAAAAATAGACCACAGAAATTGTGTTAAAATATAAATATTACATACAAAGATTGTGTAATTATGAATTACTAATAAAGGAATGTCAGCTGATTAGTTTTTTTTTTGTTATAATAAAAATATCAATACATTCATATTTTAGAAAATGTAATAATTTTTATATTTATTTTTAACAACTAAGTAAAGTACATGTATATATATTTTGTGTACAATTTATATTGTTTCTTACATTACAGTTATAATTTTTTAAATTGGAAATGAAATGTCATGTTCAAGCCGAACCAGTAGGAAAATTAAATGTCAAATAATCCCAATCGTGATAAAACCGTTGAGTTTGAAAATATACAACCCAAAATGTAAGCAGGATTGCCCATATTAAAAAACCAATACCCGACTTGATAACATAGCTTTTGATTTGCGGCTGCTCTTCGAACGTTTCCTCTTGGTATGCGTCTCTATAGTGCCAAATAAAGTTAACTAGCCAAAATATGGGCAAGAGGAAAAATCCAGCGATATAATATTTGCGACATATATCTAATTTTACATTTGATTTAATGTTAGTTCTCCAGTTCGGCGGTGGTCCTCTTTGTTCGTTTGACCTGGGTTCTGCTGAATTGGTAGGTGGACGATTTCTAGTTCTTGAGCTACTCGTTCCTGAGGGTTGCGACGTCGTCACAATCTGTGCATTATCGCCTTTTAATACAAAACACAAAGAAACATTAAACAAAATTAAAAATGAATAATTATACAGTCGTTAATGAATAATTAAAATACAAACCAATGGTATGTAATACACATATATGGAACTGGTGGTGGAGGGAATCAATCTCGATATTTTGGCACCAATGTTCCGAAAATGTTGCAAAAATCTTGTGTAGGAATTTATTAAATATACTTTTTGTTTTCCGGAGAATAATTTTAACATTATTTATTATAATATGAGCCGTCGCGAGCAAAAGTGTTGTAAGTTTTCACACAATCCTAAGAGGTAACACCATCAGGTGATTATTGTACCTTCAATATATTGCCCTCGAAAGTGGTTTGAGTTCTGCTAGATGACAGGAAAACTTTACGTTCTCGTAAAATGTAAACAGAATTTCTACTTTACCCTTTTATTTTGCAAACTTTTTGCACTTAATTTTACTTATGACGGCTAATGTATTCATACTATAGTACAGAAATATTTAATTTATATAACAGCTTGGCTGGGCATATTTAAACTTTGTTGTTGATGAATGAAAAAGTAATTTAATTTGTAAATGATAATAATGAAATAACTTCGGATTCCATTTAAGTTAGAAATAACAATACTAGTTACGAAGAATCAAACAGAATATTATTTAAAATTGTTTATTTTTTAAACGCTTTTAATAAAACTTAAACTTAATATTTAAACACAAAGAATCAAGGCTCGAATATTTTTCATAAGTAGTATGTATGTAAACATCATTTTTTAAAGAAAATATGACAAAACAAGTGACTAAGAATAAAGTAAAAATACTTACCCATAATTAAGTCAACCGTAGTATATCAGACAAATGAGTGGAATCTATAGGGTTATGGTAAAGTAATATTTAATTGAATTCGATTAAACTTGATAATTTTCATTCAAAATTGAAATAACTGAAATCTGAATTTTACCAAAAGAAGATTACTTGTTAAAATTTGTTGTCGAACAATTAATTCTCATCGGCGGAGGCGTCTGCTGTTATCAATAAAGTTACGGATAAGATAAGAGCAAACATTGATAAGTTGTTATTATCAGTCAATCAGTACAACTACCGAGAGAAATTAAATTGTGCATTGCTTAAGTTGATTTTAATTATACTTACATTGAACAGTTATAGTTGATTTATTTATTGTGACCCAAAAAGTATTAAATTATTTTAATTAAGAAAAACAAAATATACACAACATTACTATTTAAAAAAAATTTTTAATTTAATTTTACAAAAAACATGTGTGTTTTAATACGTATGTGGCAACACTGTATTGTTTGTAAATACTAAATAATAAATAGGTACCACTAAATCAGATAACAATGAAAATAATAATATACTTAATTATTGTTCTTGTTTGACGAACCTTACCGAGCTTAATTGATATAAAATAATATTTATACATTATAACATATAATTAAAGTTAAAATCGTTTGATTATGTTCAACGTCCATTCGAATTTATCGTTATGATGTAATTTAGTTGTACATTCTTTAAAATAATGTTTGTGTACTATTCTGTTTTCAAATTTTACCACTGAATTCTATATTTTCGCATTAATTTTGTTCTTTGTGATAATACATTCTAAGAATTTGGAATACAAATTTGGGTAAAGAAAAATCGCTCTGTTATCATAATTCTTGGTACATTTTGTTTTTATTTATATATAAAATTAGTTTTATTTTCAAAGGTACATAAATTGTTACAATGGCGAAACGGATGTCCATCGACCGCCCAGATTACTCGGATCCTACTGACGATAGTGATGGAAGTGATGTCGAAGAAGTTAAAAAGAAAACAATTATGGTAGGAAGTGATTATCAAGCTCAAATCCCTGATGGGCTTTCTAAGTACGGAGACGATCCACCTTATCAAAATGCCGATAAAGTTCTTTGGGAACCGTATAGCACATCCGATACGGCTATTGCAGACTACCTTCATCATATTCATCAGCTTTCTCAAGGCACAAATATAATACCAAAAGGGAAACATGTACGTGATGATGAAAATGCATTGTTTTTACTATTACAATGCGGATATAACATAGATGAAGCGTTACGTCGGATCACACTTAAAGACCAGATGTTCGGGCGCAGGGCAATGATGGTGTGGTCTGAAGAAGAATGTAAAAATTTTGAAAATGGAATACGATGTTTCAATAAAAATTTTTATTTAATCCAGCAACACAGAGTAACTACAAGAACTGTGGGGGAACTTGTACATTTTTATTATTTGTGGAAAAAGACTGAAAGGCATGACGTATTTGCTAGTAAAGAACGATTGGAAAAAAAGAAATATGCTCTTCAACCGGGTATTACGTTTTATGAAGACGGTGAAAATTCAGTTCTGAATCAGAAATCAAATCAAGTTGGCAATTGCTTAATTTATTGTGATCCTAAACGGCTACAACGTATGGAAGCGTCGGGTGTTCATGTTTCCATAAATGAGAATTAACAGGTAAAAAAATATATTAATAACTATACTATACTAATTTACTTAAAACTTATTTGTTATGTTAAAATGTGACAAACCGAATTCAAGTATAATCATATATTCCGGACACTTTAAGAAGGTACCTCGTCGAGTCGCTGTCCACCTCGCAATATCGTCATAGTTCGGCACCGACTACTGTGCATACAGATACGACCTAGGCGGCGACTGACGAGTTTGGGTCCACCGCGCTGGTACCTTCTTAAAGTGTCCGGAGTATAGGGAGTGAGTAGACTCAACAGCACTGTCTTATGCGACTTTTCGCCACTGTGAGTTAGTTGGTTTAACTGTTGATATTTGGGTTTCAGAGGATGTATTTTTTAGTATGTTTTAATAATTGATTTGTTTTTTGTTTTCTTTAGTAGAGCTGAAAATATTTTTTAATATTAATTAAAACTTCATGTCGGTTGAGTACTATCTTATTTTTACATTATTTGTTTCAGACTGTCAACTATAAATAAAAGAATAAAGGAAGTCTACTTTTTTTTGCAAAAATTGTGAGTATTACATAACAATGATTCTAAAATAACGTTTATATGTAAAAAGACAAATCTAATACTAACGAGAAAATGTTTTTATTGTTATTCCAATTACAAAAAATTTCTGATGTATGTATTAGCTTTGATGCGTCGTAGCTGTCAATTATGATTTATTAGTTTAGTATGATTGTACAGAAAACTGGCTACTCCAAGTTTATATTTTATTTTTCATTGTGAAAAAATATTTTAAGATAATTTGTCTTACCATAAACGTTAATTATTAGTATATTGTAGTAAAAGAATAAATTTAATATTGCTTTATGTTAAAACGTAAATTTATTTTCTTATCTCCTTGCATTTATTAAGTTAAAGTCAAAAACAATAATAATAATAATTACTTTGATTATTTATATATATATATGTATTGTACATGTATTTACATATATATTCATTGTGAAAGAAAGTATTTTACTTTAGACACTATGGTGCTTTTTTCTCCAGGTTTATATTCTTAAACTGTTGTATTTTTTGTAATGTCAATTTCCTTTTTATACATTTAAAATGTAAAATAGTATTATACAAATTTATATTTTATTGTGGCTATTATCATTTTTTAATTTTAAATTGTAAATAATTTTCTACCTTTTTTTTTATACATTTCAACTATTAATGTTAATTATTTTTTTTTTACATTATTTATTTTTAACTATTTTCTTCCTCCTCCCCTTAGTAAGCAGAGCTTGTGCGAGATAGCGACGTGCAACTTTTTATCAATAAATGGGTGACAAATCCAATACCTCTAGTACCAAGTTAAAAAATAATTTCCCTATTATTTGTAACCAGAACATATACATTTATTTACTAGTTATTATTGTAATTAAGATTAACCAGAAATTGTTTTTAATTACCATGCTATTATTATACCTATTTAATTTTTATACGTGTATATAAATTTATTGAATTATTTGTGTTTTTATAATCATTTAAAATTTTAGAGTAGATTTTGTATTTTTGTCACCATAATTATTATTTTTTAGAAATTTAACAGAGTATAATATTTAGTTTTTGTTACTGTGAAGACATACTTTTTTATATTTTCGATCGATTAATAAAATTAGTCTTATATAAACTTTTTAAAGTTTATATAAAAATGCATTGACCTACTTTGTTTTTATGGATTAGCTATAATATTGGTATATTATATTATATTAATGGCAATTTTTTTTTTAAAAATATATTGTGTTTTGTAATATGGATTAAAAATTGTACATAATATTTTTAGTTTATTCAAAACGGAATTGTGCTGCTTACGCTACACTATTCGGCTTACAATAATAACATTCTAAATAGGACAGAATATTGATTCAACTGAATATAATATTTCTGTCATTCAAATTTTGTAACTGAATATATATTTTTTGTAAAAGTTGTACTACTTTTTTCTTTTCTTTTAAATGACTTAGTTTTAATTCAAAACTAAACTGTCAATAACAATAATTATCATTGTTATGAGCGCAAGTTCATGTAACTATAATATTGTTACTGTAAATCTGTTGTTGATTCTTTGAAGTTTTGTTAATTTTTTCTAATTTTTACTCGGTCATTTATCATCAGCCGTAATATTGATAATTACTGGAAATGTGTTAATTAAGTAGACTTATTTAGAACAGCATTGTATCATGTGTAATATCTACACATGTAATTAGGATAAAAAAATCTAATATAATTCTTAGATTATCAATGTTGTGTTATGTCAAACAAATAAAAAAAAAATGTTTGGAATTTATGCTCATGGTAGTGAATAACAATAATAGTGTTGATATTTTGAGCAGCTTGATGTATAGTATGATTTTATATTGGTTTGTTATAACTTTTTCTTCTTGATTAGTCAATTGATTTTAAATAATTAGTGACAAAATTCATTATAAATCAAACGTTAATAAAAAATAATATTTAGACATTTTTGGGGCGCACATTCTACCCGAATCAAACTGGCAGAAAATCAAAGCCCTTTAAGTCCACAATAAAAATCATACTCGCACAGTATTCAATTTCCAGGTTGCTACATGTGAATAGTCAACAGTCAATAAGTATCTGAAAAATATGTTCATTACTAAATATTTTCATTATTGTTTATGAATTATGATATCTACACAAGACGTGACAACTGGACAAACGACCAACCGCCGGATGGTATTTACCCCAATTATTGGTTTTACACAGTTTTTTTGAAGAGTGATTTTATCACTATCAGTTTTAATAATAATCCAAATATTATATAATATATGTATGCGTATTTCTAATGTACAGTTTTTAGGTGTCAATTTATAATCATATATTTAAATAATCTCTACATAGACACGATTTATTATATATTAACTGAATAATGAATAATATGCTGAAATAATACATTGATTTTATTAAAACGTATATAGAATAACACAGAAAACATAATTAATAAACAAAACTATTACATTTACAAAATATATTTTTAATTTTCGTACACATTTGATTTTCATATACAAAATTTTACATATTATTTATGTAGTTAGAAAACATGAACAATAATAATATTTATATACATTTAACATTTTCGTATAGGTAAGTACAACATTTTTTACATAGGTATTATTACAAATTATAAATCGTGGATAATAATAACATTGATGTACATTTAACATTTTCATACAGGTACAACGTTTTTACATAGGTAGTGTTACAAATTACAAAACAATATGTTACAAACATTATATACATTTTCTAAGTACGTACTTAACAGAAGTTGTGCTTTCGCACCACTCTGTTTGCGGCCCATATCGGCCTGATCAGCCTGGTCGGCTTATAATCGACAATCAAATTAATTTTACACTCCAACATTTGTGTGCCCACATCTGACATATTATTATCATCAGTACAACTGACCAGTATGTGATGACGGTCGTTATTGCTCATCGTCGCATTATCCGTTCCATTTTCGATTTTGGCAACCAATTTTTTTACACTTTTTCCCAGCGGGAGCGGCGTGACGTTTCGCTCTGTATAAGGCTTTTTTTGTAAATATATTTTTTTCTATAAATTACAATATGCAAATTAAATATCATCTTACCATAGTCGTTTGTGCTGTTGTAGTTTTTCCAAAAATGAAATCTAGCACCGATTTCAAATTTGCCCGCCCGCAGTCTTTTCAAAACTGGATCCATTGTGTGTTATTACTTATAATAATATAATATATTGACTATAAGACTATCGATTGTCAGATGACCAACGGTGAACTGTGAACAACAAGGCAAAGCAAGTGTGAGTGAAGTTGTTGCAACGACAATGCATAGAGGATACGAATAAACTGTTACCGTAAACTGTTATTTCAGCAAACAATACAGTTTTCTATTTAAATGTATAAAATATACCTGGATAGCAACGCGACTAACATCATCATCAGCTGCTTATGTACTCGATATTTTACACAAATATTTAAAAAAGGTATGGCCGCTGTGATAATCTGGTAAAGAAAAATTATATTACCAAAAAATTATTGTCATTGCCGTACTAATAAATACACACTATTTAATACTATATATACTAATTATTTCCTACTTTTTGCCCCTTAATAAACAGCGAACCAAGGATCCAGGGGGGGGGATCAAAAGGATCTACAACGCTTAAACAACCCACGTCAGAAACCTATTAAAGAAGCGTCGACAGTCAGAATAGAACATCTTCATTGCGTCCCTTAATTTTGAAGACAGATCGCCGTACAAGTATTTTTTTTTTCTAAATCATTTTTGACTAGTTTATGTATTATTATTTGATGTAAAAATTAAACTCAATTTGATGTGGGTACTGACTAATTAGTGTGATTGTGTAAACTAAAAAAACTGTTTAAATTTATGGAGTTTAAAATTTGAAAAGTGGAAAAGAAAGATGGTGTACAAACATTTCAAGAGTTTTCCTAATTTATTCGTTTTAATAGATATTTTTATATATCGTTCTATACGGCAAAATATAATGTAATATTTTTATGTTTTCATAAAATATACAAACATTATTTATTTTATGAAAATTATATTTTTTTGAATCCACGTTTTGTGTAAGTCCTTCGAGCATTATTCATAGGTATAATGGTAAATAATTTATTATGAAACAAACAGTTGCCGTTTTTATAGAATATTTGGTAAGAAGTTATGAGCAAATGAAAATTGTGAATACGAGTATTTAAACTTGATAGATTTTGCCTATAATTTGGAAAATAGTTGAAATTTTCTTAGTTTCCGTTGTACACAACAAGTTGGTGCAGCAGAATCACTTTAATTTTTTTTTTTAGTGTAATCTTGTCTCTGTTACATTGAAACACTAATTTGACAAGTTTTACTCACAGTAATTTTCAGTGCAGACTTACATCCTTATTTCGGTACGTGTGGAGAATCAGCGTATGAATTATTAGTTTAATCCTTTATATGACTAGTGTTATAATTCTATATTATTATATCAATAATTGTCGTAACAGTTGAAGATTAATGTGCTTTTATCTCCGTGACAAATGTATTACAGCGAGATAACTGCAGTTATATTTGTAGACAGTGGCGTAGAAGAATTGCCTATGCGAAGCGCCGTCCAATTGCTATTCTTATTCTCCGAAAAAAAAAATACCGACAGTCAAAGCCAAAGTAATTTTAAAGTAAAAAAGTGGTGTGAATGCTTTTATAGTACTTTATATGTACGTCAGATTGTTACAACGGCCATTGGGATTTTATATTAAAAAATAGCAAAACAATAGTTCCCTCTACAAACAAAATATATAGTTTTTATTAGTCTAGCAGTTTTTATTTTGAGTATCTACGTTGTTAGTCTTGTAAAATAGTTTTAGGTTTCTTTTTTCGTATCCGCATATAAACTAAAACCAACCCTATCGTAGCGTTAAGTACAAACACTTTAACATAGGCATAGTAATTGTTGTTATCCGTTTTTTATTGTGGTGTCAAATTCATGTTTCTATAATAGCTACCGCGGTGCGCTGTACAAATAGAGCTAACCCGTGTTTACAGTAATAGTACATATATTATGCGTTTGACGTACTTTTAAATTATTTATTTTTTACTAACATTACAAATGGCTGTAACGTTTTTTTTGATTTGTAGTATAACTCGTTTTTTTCACAACCCGAGTAAAATAAAAAGCTTAACAACTAAAATAAAAATATATATAGCTTGTTGTTGAAATTGTATTCACTTTATGGTTTGTAAAAAAAAAAATTCTTTATTAATATCCATCTATATAACAATTAAAAATTATTTCTGTTTGCATAAAATCAAAAAAAAAAGTTTTACTTAAATATTTTATTTTTCTTCAAGCACTTACTAGTTCTTTTCTTTCTAAAGGAATTTTGTATAATAGATTGGGGGTTTGATTTTTTTTTTAAAAATTAGGTCTTCTTCAAAGTTCTGTATATAGTACCTAGAGACTTTAATTAAATTACCCGTGTGCGCTGCTGCTTATTGGTATGTATCTGCTGTATGGGCCACTGTCACCTTTTACCAGTTGATTATCATCGGCTGCAGTGTGTTAAGAGGAAATAAGTGTGAGTTAGACACGTATTACCACGTTTATCCTTAAACTTTACAGTCAAGATAAACATTGAATGAGTTTTCGTCACATAGACTTGTTTATAATCATGTTTATAATCTCTTGTTATAATCATTTCTACGCTGAAAATTGTATTATCTTGCACGTTAATTTCTTTGTTTTAAACTATGTTTTTGTAATCTATTATTATTGTCAATTGTGCTGATTTTGTAGTTTCCCGTTTGTGTTGTATACATATTATATAGAAAATATAAAAAATCACAGCACGTTGACGGAATTTGTATACTGGAATCATTGGAAAAGTAAGATACATTAATAACAAGGGTTTAGACTTAAACTGGATTGCGCGGTACATTAATGAGTTATTAATTATTTGATTAACACACAATTTATATGGTACACAACAATAGAAGCGGTTTCTGTCTTATGATTTAAGACACAACAATAATACATTTTATGCAATCTCATTAATTCGAGTTTACTATAAAAGCCGCCTGTTCGATAACTGTTGAAATCGATGACGTTAAGGTCTTCGACAAAGACAATTAATTTAAAATATATCCATCTCAAAGGAGAACAGAATATTAAGCGAAATCGTTAATCCTAATGAATTGTCTTTTTGGACGAAGAAACCCGCCCGAGCATAAGACAGCCCAAGTAAAACCTGATCGGTGTCCTCTATAAAAACGATAGCCGGTAACGCATTACAACCAAATAACAATAATATAATAACGTATATTATGCATGGTTTGCACTTCATTATGACAAATATTTGGAAACGGATAAAATATAATATAATTGTTCAATTTACTTCATATTAATATTATATAAACGTTTTAAAATTCAATACATACATCAGCAACGCAGATATCTTCTTAGCCGACTGTAAGAGATTCGACAAAATGTGATTCTCGTATTTTCATCACCGGCAACAAAAAAACACCTTGGCCCTTTTAATAATTCAATTATTTCTTTATATGTTAAGTAAGACACCATTTTTGTCTTATCCTTACAATCTAAAAACACTTGCCAAGTCGGGGTCGGCATGTAGACTTTCTTGATATTTTATTTTTGGAGAATTTTATAAAAATATATATCTTTTATTATAAAAACAATTAATTAAAAAAAGCACGAAAATTTAACTTTTTTACCACAATTGTTCTAAAAAAGTACCAAAATGGGATAATTTTGTGAATATTTTCTTTATACATTTTTTTTTTTTAAAGTCAAAAGAGTTTTAACCATTTTGAAGAACATATTATTTTACATATAATACAAATTTTTGGTTTAAACAAAAAAAAAGGTACATTTTGGGCCAGAGCGCTTTTGAACTTATATATTTGCCCCATACAGCAAAATCAAATATTTTTTAATAATTGTTGCAATTTTTTATAATATTATAAAATCATATTTTGACAGGATATCAAGTATAAATAACACAAATGTTTCAATGGTAATTTCTAATCATTAAATTGTTTTACAATGTCAAGGAAACATTCTGAAACAATTATTGTGTTATTAATCAAATGGCTTTTTGCCAAAATGTGATTTCAAAAACAGTTTTACAACGTTAAAACATATTGTAGTTTTAAATTTTTGTTTTACCGCGTGTATGGTTGAGGTGGTATGAGTAGTTATCACCATATTTTATGAGATGGAATAGTTCAAAAAAAAAAAGTTTGAATAGTATGACTTTGGAAAAACATTTTGTTATAAACGAATAAACCTTGTGCGGGCCAATCACATTATATATTTTATTAGAAAAGAAGTTTGTGCACATCAGCACCTATATCGGTACAAAGAACCACGTGGTGGTGGTCCGGCAAGGTAAACATATTAATTAGGACATAACACTTTAAAAGTACTCTCGCCGGTGTAAAACGGACGGCGCGGGATGGTTGTTTAAAAAAAAAAAAAAGATATCATTTTTATATTATGATTGTGCGGCGCCAGGTACAGGTGTTAATAGCCGTCGCGGTAGAGTATAATAATATGCATTATGAGGTTTTTATTTTTTTATAAAATTTTTTTTTTTCAAGTATAATATTTAGGCGAGCCGCTGGCACCACTGCGTTGTCGCCGTATCTTTTGGAGGGCGAGGGTTGAAGGCGCCGCCACGGTCGTGGACCGTTTCAGTGGTGTGTGCGGTCGCGAAGGGTTCGGTTGCGGTTCGTTTCATGTTTTTGGGGAGAAAATTTTCCAAAAACCAAGTACGCGTCGCGTGTAATATTACAATGAAGTTCGGTGACAATAAAGTCGAACGTATTGTTGTATCGCACGGTGTGTGACATGTGTTAACGTTTAATTTGCTCGTTAAAAAAAAAAAATAAATAAAAAAGGAAAGGAAAACACAGCCGCAGGTGGTCCAGGCCGGTTACTCTATTTGGATAAATTATCTAACTTTTCGGTAAGTCAACACAAGGCTTGTTAATGTTACACACTTTAGGTATACCTAAAGCAACCGCACGCCTACGTCGTCTCGGAAAAGGTGACTTTGGTAATATAATATTACATTGTAATAACGTTGTATTATTATGATAATATTTATTATCACATATAAGCCATACCGGTCGCATAAAGGACGTGTCTGAGATAGATAGATTGCCACCTTTAAAAATAGAAAATAATCAAATTTTAAATAAAATATACATACATGCGCATAATAATAATAAAAAAAAAGATCATAGTAGGTGCGCGCCCATGTGGGAACCCTTTTGTAATAATAATATTGATATTTTTTGTCATCGGTATAAAATATTGAATTAATAACTATCAAAAATAATAAAAGGGCTCTGTTAAAATTTTAATTGTACATGACAAAAAAAAAGGGTCTGCCAATTTTTTCTAGTTGATTTTATTCAAAATATACTGTAGTCGACTGAAAATTTTGTCGATTTTTATTTAGTTAACCTACTT